TGAGGCGACAGGGAGGCGGCTGGGTTTCAGAGCTTACAGAATAAGTTTGAAAGTGAGGTAATGGGGTGTCATGAGGATCAAAGGCTATTCTCAAGAATTCTTTTAAAGTACTGGCTGCAAACGATTTAGGTAGCTGTGAGCCGGTAATAACTTGGATTAAGTAAACCAATTGCAAGTAGGGAAATCACTTAGTTAAAATATACCAATTTCAAGCTGGTGAATCACTTGGCTAAAATAAACTAGAATATGGGTAAAACCTCAATACTAATTGCACTATCAATATGCTATTGTATTAAAAAAGTATATGTTATCTTCGGCAGCCCTGTCCCTGAAACCGAGTGATAGAAGAAACTCTAGTCCTTCTGGCCTGTGTGAATTCACATAGCTAAAAGTAACACAAGTTGAGCACCAGCATTCAGAACAAGTCTCGTCCACACTTCCACTGTGAAAGTGTGGCTTGCAAAGTGAAAATGTGGACGAGACTCGCATGGTGAGCAACGGCAAGATCGCGCTAATCAGGACAGTCGCCGTAAGCTACTGCAGTCGAACACCATCATCGTCGTTATAGTTGACGTTTGAGCTGGTTGATGACGCACAGGTGAGGGAAGATTCCCACCAGCACCTTCAAGAACCCGGCACGACTGTAGCTTCCCGGATGCCAGTGGGGTAGCCACCCGCGCTGGACACGCAGAGTGTGGGATTGGTGCTTCGACTTTACTTCCTCCTCTAGCATCTCGCTCTCTGAACGAAGACACCTGGACTGAAAAACTAGCAAAAATGGTCGGCAACAAATATTCTTAACCAGTAAGTTGCATTCTAGTTGCAGTCATCGCCCTCCTGGTCATCTCCGCCTCGAATGGGACGACACGCTTGAGATGGTACAAGACGGAGTGCTAAGTTGAAGCAGTCCGTAACTTGAGCGAGCCCCGGCCTTCCTAGAATACGACACCATTGTTCTTCGCACTGTCGAGAGATGTCGCAAAATGCTGCGCAGAATCATTATGCACATTGCTTGGAATGCTAGCAGAGCCCCAGGCGTGTTGCATGTAGAGCGTGCTTGTTGCTTATGCAATTGCAGTCGCCGACATTGGGTTTTCTCCCGCGAATAGTTCAGAAAATATCGATGTCGTTACTTCAGGAGATGATCTTCTTTACGTTAAATTATTCATACAGCACTTTGGTCCATGTAACACAGCGGGGCTCATACTATCCGCACCCTGCGCTCTTCGTCTCATCCGACGGTTCCTCTTCCTTCTCGCAGCTGCAGCTGTGGGTGTCGTTTGTTTCGCTTTAGCGCGCTCTTGAGCGTTGCCGTGACGGTCTTCCAGCGCTGGCCCAAGGTTTTCCTATTCCGACCGTCGAACATGACCATCGCGCTCTCTTCATGGGTCGAAACTTGGCCAGTGCTCGAGGTTTTAGTCCCTGCAACCACCACCGTAGCCAACGCCTTCCAGAAGCGCTTTTTCTTCATGGCCGACGCAACTGCAGGCACCACCGCTGCGCTTTGTCTTGCGCTCTCTTCCTCTTCCTCTACCGGAGGAAATTTGGCCAACGCTGTGGACACGTGACTATGCCAGCGATAGAAGGCCGCCGCGTCCGGCATGTAGAGCTGCACGCTCGTTGCTGTAGCTACGTCTCGGAAGAGCAGATGGCGGCCATCATTGCCGTCGTCCAGCACCGTGACGCGCATGCGCACAAGCAGACTCCTAGCCGACGCGTCCTCGTAGCGATAGAGCCATAGGATGTTGCCGCAGAACACGGCAAAGACTCTCGTCCAGCAGTCCGGGAGTGCCACGACGTCCCGCTGCCAGTAGACCCAGTCACTTAGCGGTCGTTGTAGCTGTACAAACACCTGGAGCG